TTCAAGTCAGCCTGAAACACAAAATTACTGCAAAAAAAAATCATTAATACAGTTAAGGGTGTCCTGGGGATAGCTTTTACCTTTCCAGAACATGTTGTTCAGCAGAAACTAAGGGATACAGAGTTAAGGCAAATGCCCAAGGTAGGTTTCAGACTTCAAAGTTGCAGGCCCAGTGAGGCATTAAGTGGCCCATTCATCTCAATGAGATGTTCTCAGAGGAAAGAGAATACTCCATGTTGACGAACATAGCTTGAAACAATAGCTCTGAGATGGGTGAACTGCACCATTCATGTCAGTGGGTGCTCCCTTCCTGCCAGCAGTCCAGGAGAGTTTCTGATGTGTGTTAAGCATACTGGTTCTTAGCCTCTCACCCCAGTGTTTTCGGTCATTGCTCTGAGCATGCCTGTTCTAAGCGCCCCTTCCAGAGGGGCAGGGCTTCCCCAAATCCCAGCTTACATGGGGGTTAGGGAGAAGGGCTCGGATACCGCAGAAGGGCAAGCCCCCACCCCAGAACTTGGCTCACATAAGTGAGAGGGAGGGGGGTCAGACTGTGAGATGGGCAGGGAACCCCAGATCCCAGCTTACATAGGATGGTAGAGAGAGGGATGCCCATGTCCCAACTGTCCCCTAGTTCCCTGCTATTCAACCCATGTTCCCTTCCCAGTGCCCTTCACCTGAGACCCCTGCCTCTCTCCCCTCCCCTACCTCCCATCACCGTTTCTCTTTCTCTTTGATGCAGCCCCAAACCTCTCTCACCCCTATTCCTCTCACTCCTCCCCCTAAAAGGCCCCTCCCCTTCCAGTAAAAACATTTGCATATCTAATTACAATTTTTTTTATTACATTCCCCAAAATAACCTCCTCACGTGCCCCTCCTCCCCCAACAGAGACAGATTTTACAGATATGCCTCCCAGCCCTTTTCAGATTTCTGCCCAAGGAGGGTCAGGTTCAGAGGCCTACTGCTTATCCCTTTGAGCTCTCCAGCTGGTGTGAAACTTCCAAGGCTAACAATCCTATTAATTCGTCTCTCTCCATACTCGGGATAATCAATTTGGCATGAAAATCAGGCTTGTGGGTCAGGTTTGCGACAAGCCAAACTGAAGAAGCAAAATATTTTCGAAGTAACCTTTTAATTTTGATTTCCCCAAAGAGCTGGTGGGTTCCATGTCTGTACTCTTTTGGGGTAACTTACAAGTATTGGACACCCAGGTGCAATGAACTGAGCCCTGGTTTGATGTCTGTGTGACCAAAAATGAGTTGCCGGAATCTCTCAATTTATAAGAAAAGCTGTTTTGTTTCTCCTTGGAGTTATATCTTGGGAACCCCTGGTTCAAATGGCCCAAATTTGGATCAATGTCAGAACCAGAGGGGACTGTTAAGTATACCAAATTTCAAGGCTAACCATGATTTTAGAGCAGTTAGAGTCAAGCCTTAAACACAAACCTGGTCTTGACTACAGTAAGGTTGTTACCCTGCTATAAAAGATCCCTTATCCAATTAGTGTGGCAAAACCAGGCATAAGTTCACATTTTCATGCCTTTAAAGGCCCTGATCCTGCCCTAGGATTCTTCTGTGAGTCCTTGTATTCATGCAGAGTCCCATTGAAGCCAGTGTGATTCTGCACTGAAGCCAACGTGAGTCTGCCCTAGAACATAGATTCTCAACCTTTTTCTTTCTAAGCCCCCCGCCCCGCAACATGCTATAAAAACTCCACAGCCCACCTGTGCCACAACAACTGGTTTTCTGCATATAAAAGCCAGGGCTGGTGTTAGACGGGTAGCAAGGAGGGTAGTTGCCTGGGGCCCCATGCTCAAGGGTCACCTATGAAGCTACATTGTCAGGCTTTGGCTTCAGCCCTGGGTGGCAGGGTTCAGGGGAGGAGCTTAAGACCCATATGGTGGGGCTTCGGCTTTCTGCCCTGGGCTCCAGTGAGTCTAACACTGGCCTTTTTGAACGACCCCCTGAAACCTGCTCGAGGTCCCCCAGGGGGGCCTTGGCCCCTGGTTGAGAAACACTGCCCTAGAAGATTCAAATGCAGTTGGGGCTGAAGCCAGGACATTAGAGGCCCTCATTAATATCCACTTCTTGGTGGCTTGAATTTGGCTCAGAATGTCACTGCTGTAAATCTGGAGAAGTTGGCCTGTAGTGCTTTAAAGATAATTCAGCAACCAATACAAATGTTGGGCCTGACACACATTACTACCTCCCAGCTAACTAAAGGACCAGTGTTTATATACCAAACTAATGAGACCTTGAAAGGCATTTCCATGAGTAGCGTAAAATAATTCCAATATGAAAAAGTTGCCAAAGTAATTTTAAATAAATTGCAAACTAAAAATAGGAAACCACAAAGAACTCTGTTTATGAATGGCTTATTCTCCAAGTAAGCTCTGATTTAGTTAAGCTGAATGGAGGGGGAAAACCCTATCATGAATCTAGATTTTACTTGTACATTATAGAAAATGGACACTTTCATCACAGTGCAGCCTAAAAATGAAGGAGGTGGAAAGCCCAATGGTTTGTACAGTTACAGAACAAAATAAGCCATCTGAAAACATGGAAAAGTAAATAAGAAATGCTGATTCATCATGGCAAAAGCATCAAAGGACCTAGTGCAGGTTGCTTGTTCTGATTAGACACGAAAAGAGGTTCTTATCTTCCCATAAGCTCTTAGAGTTCATGCCCCACTGGTACTCTGTACCCATAATCATGAAGGAGGTATTCTGTGACAAGTGGCTTGGTCAGTATGTTTTAAACTGGATGCTCCCTGCCCTGTTCACTCAATGTCGTTTCCACATTATTCCTGCCAGGGGAACAATTTGTGCCCGCAGAGGGCTCTATGTGGTGCTGAGGCTGGATCAGAACATGAGTTCATATGATACTTCTCGCCAATACAAAACAGGCCTCAAAATCAAAATGTCTACCTGAGCCTCTCTATTAGCCAGGTGATATTGCTATTGCCCTGGTCTCCCTCTCACCCCTTGTCTATCTCACTACATCTGTCATATTTAAACTTAGACTGTGCTCTCTTTAAGGCAAGAATCATGTTTGTGCTTGTTTATAAAGGTCCCTATTGTATCTCTGGAGGCTCAGAATAAATAACACACTGCAGTGTGCATGCCTGGTGGCACCCAGAAATCAACCAGGGCCTGAATTGGGTCCCAAGTATTTGATACAATTGATATATGTAGTTTGTTAGCCAGTTTGTTCCTTGCATCCATCCAAACAATGCATACAAGGGAGACAGTACGGAGCTGAGTAGCGATCCTGGTTTTTGAGTCACATGTTGAATATAGCATAGGAAATTTACTTTCTAGGGATGTAAATTGTGGGGATTTTTTGTTTGTTTGTTTAAAAACATTTTCCCCTTAAGAGGCCCCCTGAAGTGACCAAGTCACAATATTGGAGAATTTCCCTTTCACTTTATTCTCAAACCAAACAGTCATGTTTGGAGGTTTCTTTATGTCGCTAATACTGTCATTCTATAGCAGCAGGCCGGTCACCGGCAATCCATATAAAAAAGCATAGTTCCATTTAAGAGTAAGATGCAACAGAGATCACGGGTTGTGTGTAATAGGAAAAAATCAAAGCCAAAGAGTTTTCCATGAGAAAGTGAAGTTGCCAAGAGACAGTTGTTAGAGGCTGTAATTCCATGACTAATTTGTAGTTTATACTTGGATGGGGAGGTGGAATCTCTAGTCGATCCTAAATTAGACTACTTTTTAATCCTAATCCGTCTGTCAGAGATGTGCCCCGGTAATTCTGCAAAATAATATGTTGAAGCAGTCATGCATCTCTTGAGACACAGGATTATTCTAGTATAAATAAAGACTGACGTTAAATGGTATCCAAAAGACATCCAATTTAAAATGCAATGAGAGATGAATAAGTACAATATCTAACAGACTGCACTTTCTCACTAGATAAACCATGCTGGTGACTCTCAAGTGTGTGTAAGCATAAACAGATGCTATGAATGACTGAGGAGGAAATTTGAGGACAAACATTTAGCTATCAACAGTTTACACAGTTAGACACGCACTTATTGGCAACTGTACTGCCTACATATTACATAATTTTATTTTATTTTTGCAAAAATTAGAAATATACTGGGCCAGATACAGACAAAACACCCACTGCTTTGAATAACTATGGCTCATTCAGACCTGTAGTGTTCGGCCCTAAATCTGTACAATCCAACCACAACTGGTACCTGGACATGTCATTAGTTTCCCCAGAAAGGAATTCTATGCTTAGTGAGATTTTGGCATTAATACAAAAACAGTAGGGGAAAAGTGATGGAGATTTAATAAGCATAATGATATTTCATGCAAGACTGGAAAGAGACACGTAATTTGAGCAGCAGTTGGGGAAAGTTGATGTAGAATATCACACCTTTGAAGGAAGCTGTTAGCATAACTGCTATAATGCGTCTCTTTGTTTTTGCCACACACAAAAAGCCCCACCAACTTTCATTTTTTCAGCACTCTTCAGAAGTTGGTTCTCAAGCATGTGATGGAGCCTGTGAATAGAGGCTGGGATTTTCAAAGGATCCCAAGGGATTTTAGGTGCCCATCTCCCTTTGAGTGAAGGGCTACATTACATTATTATATGTAAAAAAGCAAGTTTGCAAAGAGAACGGTATCAAGTGCTCATGGAAGTCAATGGGAATCTTTTAATTTACTTCAAAGAGCTTTGAATCAGACCCATATCTAGAATCATCCAGTGTGTCTACAGAACACAGTCTTCGGGGGAGAAAATAGGGCAGCCCAAAATTGAAGCTACTTCTGAAAACACACCCAAGCTGGTAAATATCTCCATCCCAGACAAAGCACAATGGCCCTTTCCATTGAAAACTGTTCACTCACAACTGCTTTGGTAACAGGAAGTTTGCTACATTCCCTTCCTTTCCAAAGAACCAGTCCTCTTTCTTTAACTGTTATGTGTTCTCATACAATGCATCCTTTTTAGAAGCACTTTTTTTTTCTTTCCTTGTGTAGATTAATCCTGGGAGTAAGGCAGCCATGGCTAACCTGTGCCCCGGAGATATTATTCTGGCAATTAATGGAGAGAGCACAGAAAATATGACTCATCTAGAAGCACAAAACAAGATCAAAGCATGTATGGACCAGCTGATGCTATCTGTGAACAGGTAGGTGTCTGCACTTTCCCTTCCAAACACTTACACCTCTACATAGTAACTGTGTCCATGTTTGTAACTAAATGTCCCCTTCCTTGAGGTGCTCTTCTGCAACCACATGGCAACCATGAGCACCTTCCTGTTTTCCTCTGAATCTCTGAGCTGTAGCCTCTTTCCTAGCTAGGGAGGACTAGAAGGCAGTTCGTGTTGGAGCAGATATGATGTGACATCTTAATGCCCTGAAATAATCACATCTGAGGCCTGGGCTACGCTTGGCTACACTCGTGAAGCGCAAGTGTAGTCGCGCCGGCAGTGCTGTAAAAGAGCTCTCGCAGCGCTGTATGTACTCCACCTCTCTGAGGGGAGTAGCTTGCAGCGCTGCGAGCGAGTGTCCAGTGCTGCAGGCTCTGATTACACTGGTGCTTTACAGCGCTGCACTCGCTGCTCTGGGGGGGCGTTTTCACACCCCTGAGCGCAGCAAGTTGCAGCGCTGTACAGCGCCAGTGTAGCCAAGGCCTGAGTGACCCTAAGGGCTTGTCTACATGGGGACACTCAGTGAAGTTAAAAGTGAATCTACTAAAGGTGTGAAGTCAACATGCATAAATTAAAGGGCATTTCATTCAGGAATAAAGTGGCCGTAGTACGTAGTTCACTGTAATTTAATCCTTGTCCAAGGATTCCAGGGAGGATTAAGGGCTTGTCAAAGCACATTAACTGTTAATGTGCATCAATAGGTCCACACGGACAGATAGTCTAAGGCAGGCTAGTGCGGGGTAAATTCACACCCCAGTTTGCGGCGAACTAATTGTTCCCATGGACAAGCCCTTAATCCACCCTGGAATCCTCAGACGAGGATTAAATTACAGCAAATTATGGCCACTTTACTCCTGAATGGAACACCCTTTAATTTATGCATATTGACTTCACATCTTTTAGCTGATTCACTTTAACTCTCCTGAGTGTTCCTGTACAAAGGTGGTCTAAGGGCTAGTCTATACTAGCTTCATCGCTGGGTAAAAAATCCACAACCCTGACTGATATAGTTAAACTGACTTCATTCCCAGTGTAGACAGTGCTAGGTCAGTGGAAGAATTCTTCTGTCGACCTAGCTACCGCTTCTCAGGGAGGTGGATTGCCTATGTCAGTGGGAGAATGCCTGCTGTCTGTGTAGGTAGTGTCTACACTGCAATGCTACAGCGGCGCAGCTGTGCCACTGTAGCATTTCAAGTGTAGACAAGCCCCAAGTATTCCTTCCTCTCCCACCAAAAGGCTAAGCATGCTGCCTCTGCAACAGTTCCTGCCTCTGTTTGTCCAGGGAGCAGGCCACTGGGACCAGGGCTTCATTTATACATTTTATTATTTTTTAACCGTTCTTTCCTATTTGCATCAGCCAGTTTGTCCCAGGATATCATGCAAAGTTGGTACATCTGCAAAAGACTGGTGACTGGTCTCAGAATAAAGAATGACACCATAGTGTATCAATAGGTTTGTTTCTTAATGTGCCCCAGTGGTTTGTGTATCTGCTCCAGGTAAACAAATGCTTTTAAAATGACGTTATAGAAAAGGTAGATATGGCAATATATATTCCAGGTCATTTGTATTTGAATTTGCATGAGCACACTGTAGGGCTTTTGGCAGAAGCAGATTTACATGTCTAAACATCCAGGCCTGTTCCCACTGAAAAACTCCTGTTGATTTCAACGGGAGCACTCTTCGACTGAAATCTGGGCTTGGAGAAGCACCACATACATAGCACCTATTACCTTAATCTCTTTCGTCTACGTGCCTTAGCACACTTCCCAAGCTCTGCTGAGTGTTTAAACTTTTAGGAATGATTTAAAGCAAAACAAAAGTTCATGTAAATGGATTTTGTTTTTCTTTCCACCGGAATTCATTCCCTGGCCAAATGTTTCTAATTAAATCACAAATTTACTATAATTGTCCAGCCAAAATGAGTGAATTTTATGAGGCACATTAGTCATTAATGTGATCTGTGATAGATATAAGTACATTTATAAGATTTTCCACTTCATGTTGAAAAGGCATTTCCTTATGTAAAGAGCTACCATTCACTGTTTATACTTCCTTTTAAAAATTGTTTAGATTTTTGGACCTTAAAACCTGGTCTGAAATCTAAGTAACTAGTTATTGGTGTTTCACAAAGCCATAGCCTTATTCCTATGTGTACAGTTTGGTCATTTATAAACAGCTATCATAAATAAAGTAGAACTCTCTTTCAACATTAATATTTTAGTAGTACCCAGAGACCCTGATCAAGTTTGGACCCCATTGTGCGAGGTCCTGGAGGAACAGAGTGTGTGTGTGTGTGTGTGTGTGTGTGTGTGTGTGTGTGTGTGTGTGTGTGTGTGTGTGTGTGTGTGTGTGTGTGTGTGTGTGTGTGTGTGTGTGTGTGTGTAGTAGTAGTAGTAGTAGTAGTATATATA